GAACAAGTAGAAAGAGAGGCGCTCTGAAGAATGCTTTAATCTGATTTTCTTCTTTGGAAGAGCCATCCAGTGGATGGAGAAGCACATGGACCTGTGGTGTCTTTGTAGAATAAACAAAGGCCCAGAAACCACCATGAGCCCATGGAAAGCATTTTCTGTCCCTAGCAGCTTTTAAATCTTTCCAGAGGAGCCAGGCTGTTGAATTTGTAAGGCAAACAGCAAACAACAAACAAACAAACAATTCACCAACTTGTCTGGATTTTTTTTTTTCTCAGTCCTGCATTAAATCTGCAAAAAATAAAGTGGAAATAAAGGGTGAAATTTGTACTTATTTTTGCAAATGTCTCCGTGGAAAATGCATAGAGAAAACTGTGTGTTTTTTAATTGAGGAAACACAGTGCTTCTCAACTGACCTTCCAGTTGTTGCAAAAGGAGCAAAGTGTATGTTTGCTTTAAATTTGAAAGTAGTTTTCCATTTACACCCAGCAACAGAAGGCTGGATTTTGGGTATATCTAGTAAACATATCTATGGGGAGGGGAGATGGGGAACTTTGAACTGTGCTTGTCTGAATCTGATGGTAATCAGTGGGAAGTGTACATTTAAATTTTTATATTTTAAAAGAGCACTTTTTATCAGTTTAACTCTCAGTTGCTTTATCAGTTTAACCGCTTTACATGTTTCCACAGGAATTTGGATCTTGAAAAATTTTGATCCAAATGCAGAATATCGAATGCTTGTTTTTCATAATACAAGTCATACTTAAGTGACGATAACATCAGTTAAAAAATGCTTTAGGTAAGGAATTGTGAGGGGAAAAAAATTACTTAATTTTGCCCAGTCTTAATGTCTGATTGGGAAGGATAAATACTGTAAGCATAAAATATTGCGGCCAATGTGAAATACTACGCAGTACATAGTACATACTACACAGTAAATACTGATTTCAAATCCTATAATTTGAATCCATGAATTCATTCTCCGCTTAACAAATTATTAAATACTGTGGGAAAGACTAAAGACTGCGGCCTGCAAGTTTAAAAAAAAAAAGAAAAATTTAAGAGGGACCTTTTCTTTTTGCACCTGTGAAGGCAGGCCTGGACACCTGCAGGGGTCACAGCATCACATTGCCAAGCAGCTTCTGGGTTGTTTGGATTTCATAATTTCTGCTCAGGAAACTCAGCTCTCCCAAAGAAAACCCCTGCCTTCCTCTTTGTGTCAGCTCTGACAGCCACTGAGTGTTCTCCTGACCCAAGGAAAGCTTTTCTGCTGGGTGAGCTGAATGGGATGCTCAGGGGAGAGCCAGCACTGGGGAGATTTCACTGCTCAGGAGAATTGTGAGAGGCCACTTCTGTCCCTCTGCACTGGGGCTGAGCCTTGCTGCTCCTTGCAACTGCACCTTTGTTCTTGGTGTCATTCTGAGCCTTCTGGATGGAATTACAGCCCTGTGGTCTTGCCTTCTCCTGTGATGGCAGAGCCTCGTTCAGGACTGCAAGCTTGGTCAAAAATTAAGAGTCAAGCTGATGCAAGCGACCCATAAGCTGATATGAACAACTCATCCCGGCTGTAAAAAGTGTTTTGATGATAGAGCTTATAGCAGTTTGAGGAGTAAAACAAATTGTTCTAGCCAAAGCATTTTCAGCCTCCATCTACACTTGGGATTTTGGTAACAAAAATAGCACAAAATGTCATTGGGAGGTGTTCTGCCAAAAGCTTCTAGCCTGTGTTTGTCCTCAGATTGTTTCTTTTTGCTGTATAATAGATCACATCTGTTGGAAATGTCTTCTTCTTCTAACTTCTGGGTTTTATTTTGCACTCAGAGCACTCACACCTAACTAGTGCTTATCCTCTGCAAGGGCTTGCAGACAAGGAGGAACTGGAGCCCAGGGGGGTGTGTGTTTCAGTGCTGAACTTCATCAATGAATCTAAATGACACAGAGCCTCCTTCCACCGAGTTACTTAAGCACTTTGAAACAAAACCCTCCCCTCCAAAAGGTATCAGGAGCCCAGAGCACTTACAGGTGTAACAGGAGTTTCCACATTAACCCCTCTGTTGCCTACCAGCACAAATGGACCTGCCGAGAGAAAATTAGGACAGGGAAGTGTTTGCTGCTTTCCAGGTGACAAAAAAAAAAAGTCATGTGAGGGCTTTTCAGACACGGTCACAGATTTAACCTCTGATAGAAACCGTCATCAGAGTGTTTAAAGCTTGCTGATACATCTAATGTTGTTTTATTGGGCTTTGTGGGCACTCCAAAACTATTTTGTGGCCAAAGCCATCCCTAGGAGTCACTGACAGAGGAGGTTCATCCCTCCAGCTCACACTGGCTCTGGCCAGCCCTCAGCCCCAAGGCTGAGGTAAGCTTCAATTGAAACAGCTGCCAAAGAAGGGAGCTCCTTGAGGGAGCTTGAAAGGAAAAAAGGACGAACAATGGATCTGCAGAGCGGTGCTGCGCTCCACAGAAGCAGCTGAAGGAGTTCCAGCGAGATTTGAGAGTTTGATTACAAGCTGGTGATACTCCTGTTGCAAGGTGAGTGGGAGTCTAGCTTGATCTAATTAGCAAAAACTGGAACACGAGGAGAGAACTGACAGTGCTGGGATGTTTCAGGAGGTGCTGTGGCAAACGTGACCCACCCAAAACTCCAGTGAGAGAACAGCATGAGAGGTTAATGAGCCCAAAGTCACCCCTTCTTTTCTACATCTAAATTCAAATCTGTTTCTGAAAGTTGGTAAAAATTATGCATTTGTATCCATGGAGCACTGGATTCATCATTTTGCCTGTTAGTAGAGGATTGGTAACACTCAAATTTACAACTGTATTTGGATTGTTTTGGTTCTCAAATTGTAAGAAGGTGCATGGTGAAACACGAGAAATTTGCGAGAAATAGATCATAAAAAACATGTTGACACTTGTCAGTGGATCACAATTTGGGGTGATATACACCAATTTAAGTTTGCAGATCAAGTATGGATTGACTCAGCACATATTTAATGCTTTTTTTTTTTTTTGTTAAGCCATTTTAGAGTGTGTATGGTTAAGTAATCAACAAGAATGTTTATCAACATTTACTATCTATTTATATGTTAATAAAACGTGTAGAAATAACTCTGTAGGATGTTATTTTTTAGGAGCTTGATTAATATTTCTAAAATTAGTAAGCAATAGATGTTATGATCAGCTCTTGAGTGCTATAATTTACTACCATTGACACCCACCTATTTCTTCCCCAGCCCTAAATTATATGGCTCATTACTTACAAGACTGAAAATTGGTGGTGTTGTGGTAGTAAAACCAATGTTAGGTTTTAGCACTTCCGTACAATAAGTCTGGCTTCTCCAATTAATTAATTCAAATCCTGACTTCACATCCTAACAATCTTTATTACAAGGATTGGTCCTAAATAAAGGTTAAAATCAAGCAGACACGTGTTGAAAATATTGGAACAAGTAGTGAGAAAAAATAGCAGAGTATGTGTAGTTGTGCAAGTAAATAAAGAAATTCTTTGTTATTTTTGGCAAGAGGTGGAGAAGCATGTGATGTCCAGTTGGAGCTGTTGCCAAGGATTTATCTTGGGGCTAAATACTTTATAGGCAAACAGTAATTCCTTTTTTGCCCCACATCAGCTGAACACTATTTCGGGTCAAGAATGCTGTTTGCAGCGAAGCTGACCAGTCCTACAAACAACTAATATTTAAGTGATGTATAATATTAGGGGCATGTTGTTACTGGGGGTGTATCCTGTTATTTTGTGAAGAGTTGAGCAAGGCAAAATGCTGAACTGTAATGCAGGATGCAAACTGGTCAATACATTTGCTCTGCCCTGCTTGCTCTCAAGCTAGTGGTGTGTCTGATGGGCTCGGGCTAGCGTGGCAAGGACTGCGAGCCAGGGAAGGATGCCAGACCAGATCTGGAAGGTTGGTGCTTCACACTTGTTTCCAGGGCTGGCTGGGGAAGCCTCTTTGTCTTACCACTCATTTAAATGAGTTAGGAGTTGGCAAGTACATTCTCACCTTGTCATCTTCTGAGCTCCAGGTCCTGAGAGCCAGGCCTTTGTCCTGGCACCAGTTTGCTCATCGTTATACACGTTGAGTGTGTGTGAATGAGTGTTACGGGAGTTGGCAGCTAACTGGGAGCTGGCAGGGAGAGCTCACCGATTCGGGGTGCGGTGATCGGGATGGCCAGCACCGGAGGATTTGGGAGTTTTACAGGTGCCTCTGGCAGAGCCCCCACAAAGCACCAGGTCGCCTTCCTCCAGGGAGTGACAGACCGGGGCGGGCAGGGAGGCGAGTTCGCGGTAGGAGCATCTCAACTCGTCCTCCCAGGACTTCCAGGGGGGATCGTCACGGGAGTTCGGGGTAGGAGCATCCCGAGTTGTCCTCCCAGGGGTGACTTCCCGGGAGGACCATCAGCTGGCGCTGAGGGGGCTCCGCCGCCGAGCTGCTGCCATGGGCGGTGATGGCCCAGCAGCCCCGGCCGGTCGGTGCGGGAGGGCAGGAGAGAAGCGGCGGCGGGGCGGGGACGGCGCTCCGGGCGGGCGCGGGGCGGCGGCGGCGGCTGCGTTGCGCGGCGGGGCCGGGCGGGGGCGCTGCCGGCGGGCCGGGCCGGGCCGGGCGGAGCGGAGCGGGAGGCGGCGGGAGCGCCCCGCAGGCTGCGCCCCGCGGGCTGGGCGGGGGCCGGGGCGCGCCGGAGCGGGGCTCGGCCGGCGCCCCCTCCGCAGCGCTCGGCGGGGCCGCGGCCGCCGCTCCGGGGCGATGGGCGGCGGCGGGCGCCGCTAGGCCGCCGCGGGCAGGGCGGAGGCGGGAGGAGGCGGAGGCGGAGGAGGCGGCGGCCGGGGGCGGGTTGGGTCCCTCCCCGGGAAGATGAGGCGGAGGCCCGGTCTGTCGAGCGGGCTGAGCCGGGGCTCTTCCCTCGCAGCCGCCAGGACAAGATGGCAGCGGCCGAGGCGGCGGCGCCAGCAGCAGCGGCGGGGCTGAGCGGCTGAGCCCGGCCGGAGCGGCGCTTCCCGGAGCGCTCCCGGACATGCCCAGGGCGGCGGCGGCAGCTCCAGCGCGGACGCCAGCGCGGCCCGACCCGTGAAGGTGAGCGGCCGGCGGCGAGCGGGGCCGGCCCCGCGGGCGGAGCGCGGCGCTGCCTCTGCCTCCGCCGGCGGCGATCGCGCCCTGCCCGCGGGGGGCTCCGCGGCACACCCGACCCCCCTGCCCGGGGCAGCGCCGCCGGCCTGGCCGAGGGCGGCGGTGGCGAGCGGGCAGCGCCGCTTCCCCTTCCCGCTGCCCTCGGCGGCGCCCGCCCCGCCGCGTCCCCGAAGTTTCCCGTTCCGCGGCGCGGCCCGGCGCCCTCCCGGAGCCGCCCCGGGTGCCGGGCGAGGCCGGCGCCGCCCGGCGGGGGCGGTGTGGCCGCCCCTCGCCCGCTGCCGGCGCTGCCCCGCTCCGCTCCGGGCGCGCCGCCTCCTGCCGTGCCTTGTATGGAGCGCCGGGGCCGGGCGGGCTGCGGGGGGTCCCGGGGCGCGGCCGCGGCTCCTCCCGCCCCGGAGCTGCTCGGCCGCCGGCGCGGCCGCTCCTGGCAGTCCCGGCGGGACGCGACCCTCGGCCCTGAGCCCCGAGCAGAGAGCCGCGCTGGGGGGAGGCTGGGGCGGCAAATGGTGCCCGGGGCCGGCATCGCTAACAGCAACTGGAAAGGAAGTGGACGCTTTAAAATTTGGTCAGTTCCCAAGAACGGGCTCTGTGAAAGCGGAGGGGTTTGTGTGCCGGAGGCTTTGCCGTAATGGTTGCGGCAGGGATTGTGCGGGGTTTGTTCTGGATTCGTCGTGGTATCAGTTGTAAAGCTGGCAGGTGCGTTTGCATGTGTTTAACGCTGTAGGAAATTGTGATGAGTGTGTAAAAATTATTTTTGTTTAGATCGAGCCCTCGATCGTCAATGCTATGTGCTTACACGTATATAATAAAGAGCTTTCTTTTGAGGTTATACTTTTGTTACTAACTGTTGCATCTGACTTAAAATGTCAGAAACTGCGACTGTTTGTTTCTTTGTTAACTTAGTTTTTGGCACTCCGGGGCTTGACTTGCCAGAAATTATGTGGCGCTCTGATGTTTTTGCATCTTCCTGCTTGTGCGTTTCACATCTCCCTACTTGCGTATTGCCTTGTTTATTTCAGCGTTTTGAAATTGTGGGAAAGTATGTTACTATGAGCGACGATTACATTAGTTGAAGCTGTAGTTGTCGATAACAATGCATGTTTCTGTGATTATTCATTTTGTGCCCGGTATTACCTCCCCATAACATCGTTTGCGAAAAGTTTAGGCTCTGATTGATGTCGCACTAAGTAGGAAAGCTGGGATGAACTCTGAGGACTGACATAATAATTCCGTAACAGACTTAATTTGCTGGAGCTTTCTATAAACTAAAGTTTAAAATACACGCAGTAGCTGCCTAACAAGCGTGGGAGCCAGCGGAGAGATTAATTAAGCACCTGGAAAATAGGTCAATACTGTATTACGAAGCGGCGTGGTGAGATGGCAAATAAATAGAGCGAAGTGTTAACGCGGGCTTACCGGGGGAAAACCGATCCCGCTGGAGCCGTGGGGCGGCTTTATCTGCGGACCTTTTATGGTAGCACATGCTGGGAGCCCTCGGACTTTTCGCTGCCTCCGCTTCTTCCTGGGGGCTTCTCTTCTAGGGTGTGGCACCGCTCGTGCTTGGAAATTAATTTATCAAATTTTTTTTTTAATAGATAAATTTGGCCGGGTGTTCCAGTTCCCACTGCGGTGGTGGTGGTGGTGCGTGGCTCTCCGGGCTTGGGGGCGGTGTGGAATTGGATGGGTTCCATGAGCTGGAATAAAGTTTCATTGAAAAATTGCTCGGGAAGCTGCCCCTGCCCTGGGGTCTCTGCGGCGCTTGTGAATTTTTCTTTGTTTCGGTTTTTTTTTTTTTTTTTTTTTTTTTTTGTGTGTGTGTTTTTGCGTGTTTCCTCCCTCGTCTCTTTCAAACAACTACCTATGGAAACAGGGAAACGAGACAGGCTCCTGCATAACAAGATAGCAGAGACAAAGGCAGGGTGTGGGGAGGGAGGCTGAGCTTGCAACTCATCTTTCAGAACTAACTGATAAAAAACCACCAGAATTTATTTGCGTGCGCTGCTTTTCTCCTCGAGTCCTCCAGTTTGCAGCAGTTGCTTCAAAACAATTCGGTGATTTTTTTTTTTTTTCCCCAAAAGCATCTGTGGGGTTTGATGGCATCTGTGGAAGGGGATGGGAGGCTGAGCAGCACTTTCAGAGGCAGAGGGTTGGTCAGCTCGCCAGCCCCTGGGTGGAACAGAATTAACTGGACTGAATTCCTGTGGAAAGCCCAGTGCAGAGGTGTAGGAATGTCAGGCTGTGTTTCCCCAAGCTCACGTGTTTGGGTGTGTGTACCCCTCTCTGAAGGGACTGCACGCTTCCTGTTTTCAGAGCAGTTTTCTCTTTACCTCTCTATAGGATCTCTTTCTTGTGTTTTCCCTTTTGCCAGCGTGCTGATCACGGCAACAAAGGCCCTTTTGACAAAGCGGTGCCTTTTGGAACGGGAATTTTGTGGTTGCCTTTCTTGTGTGTGAGGGGGGAGAAAAGCAGCGTTGGGCACGGGAATAGCACTGTCATTTGAGGCTGGACATGTATTTTGGAGGAATGTTAAATACAGGAGGAGAAACTGCTTTTAGTGGAGCTAAATTTCGCTGTTGCAGTGTGGGGTGTCGTGGCACTTACAGAGCAGTTCCTGCACACAGTGCTGCTTTCTGCACAGAACTTTGGGGAGAAAAGCAGAGAACAGAGAGGCCTTCCTATATATTTTTATTAGATCAGCCTCGGCTTTTCTGAATATATGAAATTATTTCATCTGATCTGATTCATTAGGAGGCAGAAGGCTGATCCTTCTGTGAGAGAGAATGGATTTCTGGTGTTACACTGCACTAGATATTTACCTGTAGGAAATACTGCTTCTCTACATCCTTAGAAAGCTGACAGAAGGGGTAAACACCTTTCCCCTCTATTTTTTTTTTACTGTGCTGCTTTCTGCACAGAACTTTGGGGAGAAAAGCAGAGGACAGAGAGGCCTTCCTAAATTCTTTTATTAGATCAGCCTCGTCTTTTCTGAATATATAAATGATTTCACCTGATCTAATTCATTAGGAGGCAGAAGGCTGATCCTTCTGTGAGATAGAATGTATTTCTAGTGCACTGATATTTACCTGTAGGAAATACTGCTTCTCTACATCCTTAGAAAGCTGAAAGAAGGGGTAAACACTTTTCCCCTCTATTTTTTTTTTTTTTTGTTTTACTGTGCTGCTTTCTGCACAGAACTTTGGGGAGTAAAGGACAGAGAGGCCTTCCTATATTTTTTTATTAGATCAGCCTCGGCTTTTCTGAATATATGAAATTATTTCATCTGATCTGATTCATTAGGAGGCAGAAGGCTGATCCTTCTGTGAGATAGAATGGATTTCTAGTGTTACACTGCACTAGATATTTGCCTATAGGAAATACTGCTTCTCTACATCCTTAGAAAGCTGACAGAAGGGGTAAACACCTTTCCCCTCTATTTTCTTTTTTTTTTTTGTTTTACTGTGCTGCTTTCTGCACAGAACTTTGGGGAGTAAAGCAGAGGACAGAGAGGCCTTCCTACGTTTTTTTATTAGATCAGCCTCGGCTTTTCTGAATATATAAATGATTTCACCTGCTCTGCAGAGGCATTAGAGCTGAATGAAAGTGCTCTGGCTGCCAGAAGTACAAGTTGGGTAGAGCAGGCCTGGTAATCACCTGGTGATCCTTGGCTGAGGGAAGAAGGAATGTGGAAGTGTCACGGTGGTGCCGCCAACATTCCTCTGTCACGAGTTGGCTGTTGGATTTTGTGAAATAACATCCACCTTTCAGACTTCAGAAAAGATTGTTTGTACCATTTTGTGTTTTCCAAGTTCCTAAGTCACGGAAATATTCTCTTTCTTGACATCCCTTCACTGACAATCAGAGGTGGAGTGGAAAATAATTAATTGCTTTTAATAGATCTTGAAAGAAAAGGTCTCCTCTTTCCTTTTAATACCAACTTATTTTGTGATTTGCAGAATTAGTTGGTGTTTACAAGATCTTGGAAAGCAATGAATTACTTTTAATAGGTCTTGAAAGAAAATAATGGATTACTTTTAATAGATCATGAGTACAGGATGGGACTTCAGGTGTCTGAAACTGTGCTTCAGAATTGTGACTGGGCTGAGCACAACATGAGACATGGGGAAAAGAGCCAGGATGGGCACTGAGCGTGTTGCAGACCATGCTGGGAGTGCAGTGCACCTGAAATGACCATGTAACTCCATTTAAAGCAGCCTGAAATAACTGATGCTATGATATGGGTTAGTAATGGGTTACCTTTCCTGACTTCTGCAGGCACTGAGCACCCCCTGTTTAACCTGAAATAACCTATAATGAAGGATAAAGCCTGGAAAATCCTGTTACCTGGTCTTGGCTTCCCCCACCCCCCCTTTAGAGAGTGTTTTAATTTAGAGCCTCTACCTCTTATACTGAATTTTAAAGAAATTATAGCTTTTTTTTCAGAGTCACTGTGCTTTGAGTGACAGGTGAGCAGGGGAACAGCATCATGTAACTGTGAAGGTGGATTTTATATTTGATAATGTATTTCCTATAGGTTAGGTTCTTCTCCCCAGTTCTTCAGTTGTTTTATTTCAATATAGTGAATTTTGAAAAAGATGACAGGAGTTGGTGTGAGTCTTGGTTTTAGATGCAGTTTGGGGATAATATTTGTAAAGCTTTGTAGTATTTTTTTCATTGTATATCACTTTTCCATATATCATTTTAATACTGCATTTTTGATAGTGGGTAATTTTTTCACAATCTCTGGTTTAGCAATTGGGCTTGGAAAAGGAAGAAGAGCCAAATAACAAGTGTTTTTTAAACAAGTAGACTCAAATAGTTTAGTTCTGTTTTTTTCCTTATGCTGAGGCTTGGAGTCAATGTAAATTCAAAATAACTCTCTGAATATTAACTGTACATATTTATTAATTCCAGCATTATGTAAACTTTCTAAAAGCATAACATACAGT